ATCGCATCATGCCAGGCCATGTCCCCCAAACCCGCATCATGCCAGGCCATGTCCCCCGAACCGCATCATGCCAGGCCATGCCCCCCTAACCGCATCATGCCAGGCCATGCCCCCCAATCACATCATGCCAGGCCATGCCCCCGAATCGCATCATGCCAGGCCATGTCCCCCAAACCCGCATCATGCCAGGCCATGTCCCCCGAACCGCATCATGCCAGGCCATGTCCCCCGAACCGCAACATGCCTGGCCATGCCCCCCGAACCGCATAATGCCAGGCCATGTCCCCCGAACCGCATCATGCCAGGCCATGTCCCCCGAACCGCATCATGCCAGGCCATGCCCCCCGAACCGCATAATGCCAGGCCATGCCCCCCAATCACATCATGCCAGGCCATGCCCCCCAATCACATCATGCCAGGCCATGTCCCCCAAACCCGCATCATGCCAGGCCATGTCCCCCGAACCGCATCATGCCAGGCCATGTCCCCCGAACCGCATCATGCCAGGCCATGCCCCCCAATCGCATTGTGCTAGGCAAAACCCCAAACCGCACTGCGCCCGGCCACCCCAGGCCCCGACAGCATCCGCCCAGGTACCTCCCAGATCATTTTGCATGGGCCCATTACTGGAAGTTCAGTTGCGCAAGTCTTCGTGCTGCATTGATTCCATTTGACCGTCCAACCGAAACCGTTGGTCATTATTAACGTTGATCACTCGATCGTTTTCAGAACTGCTGTATTCGCCACTTATTGATATTTTTATTATTAACCGTTATACGGCCGGTATGGCGTTTATTGTACGACACCATTCGTTCGGTCATTGCTCGTAGTTGGCGCTGCATGCAGCCAACAAGTTATCAAGCCAACAAGAATGGCGGCAACTGATGATGATGACCATGATTATAATGATGACGATGATGATGATGATCATGATGATCATGATGCCGATGGCCTTTACAGCAGTTGATAGTTGCGGCTATATGCCGCCGCGGCCGCCGCCGCCGCCGCCGCCAGCCAACTGGCCAGCAGCGGCGGCGCCCGGCTGGGTGCAGCTGGGTGCGGAGGAATTGCACCCAGCAGTGCACCTGAAGGAAAAGGGACAAGGCGGGGGAAGGGCGCGGGAAGCCAAAATACGGTTAGCAGTACGACACAACTAACACACACATAATTAGGTGACAGTTGCAAGCAAGGGTACCGCTGCTGGTCCCCACGACGCACACCCCATGCACCAAAACCCCAAGCCCATCCGCACCCACCTCAGCCGGGCCCATCATCAGCAACGCCCGCTCGGTGCCACTGGGGCGCACAGGTTGATGCCCCAGCCGCACCTGAAGAGGAGGTGCGTGATAAAGGGGGAAACGGCCAGAGGGGATAGGTAAGGGGGCAGCATACACGGGGGGGAGGGGGTAAAACACCAAATGTCATTATCTTGCCCAAAAGTCACAAGGCCTCGTTGCGACACGTGCGCTGCGGCCCTGCGGCCTTTTTCCACGACCACTAGTTGAACCCAAATCACGAAGTACGCACCACACCCACACCCACGTCGCCCACCCACCCATCCACCCACCTGAGACGGGCGTTATAAAAGTACGGCCGGCCCCTGCGTGCGGGTGCCGGCAGGCCGGACGACTCGTACGCCCCGAGTCCCGGCAGCCAGTCGACCCTGCATTCGGGTCCTGGCACCAGGGAAGCTGCCGCAAACCCTGGCGATAAAGGGCCCGGGCCATGGCCACTGCTGCAGCTGCTTGCTGATCTGCCGGCTGCTGCTGCTCCTGCTGCTGCTGCTGCTGCTGCTGCTGCTGCTGCTGCTGACTACATAATGAAAAAAGTAAAAATACGGTGACAGGAGGTGCAAAGGCCTGGGAAAACCCATAACCTCTACAACCCCGGCACCCTAATGCACGCCTTAGCTTATTAGGCTGAGGCGCATTACTAATCTATAATAAGATATTTAAAACAGAGTAAATAAATAAGTAAATAAATAAAGCGGAAATAGATATCATGGCTCAGCTTTATTCATTCATCTATTATTTAATAAGGTGTAGCCTCCCCTTAATTAGGTAATCCCCAAACAAATGAAAATCAATTGTGCACAACCAGGGCTGTGGGCACCACAAACGAAAACACGACAGACTGTACACGCGCGGCAACAGCCGTGACACGCGCACACTCGCTGATGCTGGTTGTTGGCTGCTGGCTGATAGCTGCGTAGCGTAGCCCATTTAGGCAATATAACTGGCTGCAGCTGCTGGCTGGTTAGATAACGCTAGCTACCATCCACAAAACCCAGCGACGACAATAAAACCGGCCGGTCACCACCAACTGTCCACCAACTGTCCACAAACTGTCCACCAACTGGATCAACATCTGCCAACCTCTTCCAACCAAACATATCTCCAACGGACAACTTCCACCATGACAACCATATTTCTCGACCCGATCCTCCATATCTTTGGACTCCCTTATTTTCCTGCTTTGAACTAGTCCTTCCGTTTGCAACGAATGTCGTGGTTTGAGCAAGGATGTCTCCCTTTTCATCTTTCTTTTGTGCATGGTAGGTTTGAATGCAGAAATTCTGTAGCGTGGGTGGGCACGAAGAGCCACAGCGGCGGCCGGGGAGGGAAATGCACCGCAAAAAGGTCGCGGTGGCAGCAAGCCCAGAGGAGAAGAGCCACAGCGGCGGCCGGGGAGGGAAATGCACCGCAAAAAGGTCGCGGTGGCAGCAAGCGCAGAGGAGAAGAGCCGCAGCGGCAGCCGGGGAGGGAAATGCACCGCAAAAAGGTCGCGGTGGCAGCAAGCCCAGAGGAGAAGAGCCACAGCGGCGGCCGGGGAGGGAAATGCACCGCAAAAAGGTCGCGGTGGCAGCAAGCCCAGAGGAGAAGAGCCGCAGCGGCGGCCGGGGAGGGAAATGCACCGCAAAAAGGTCGCGGTGGCAGCAAGCCCAGAGGAGAAGAGCCGCAGCGGCGGCCGGGGAGGGAAATGCACTGCAAAAAGGTCGCGGTGGCAGCAAGCCCAGAGGAGAAGAGCCGCAGCGGCGGCCGGGGAGGGAAATGGGTTGACGTCACCGCCGCCGCCGCAGCAGCGCTAGCAGCAGCAGCAGCAGCAGCAGCGCCCGCAAAGGCCCCTGCATTAGTGCGCGGTGGCTGAAAGGGCCGTGAAAGGTGTCTGCCAATCCGAACCGGCGTCCCTGCCTCCGTTGCGAGGTAACGAGCCAAAGTGCCAGGACCCCTTTATCACTACTTCATCACTGCCATCATCACTGTCACCGTCGCTGGGCTCGATACCTTCTCGGCTGCCGTCCGCGTCGCCACCGTCGATGCGGCTGGTGTGACCGGGAGGCGCCTGTGCTTCCACCACGTTTGTTTTCCAGTTCAGGCGTCGCAGCTCTTCGACGCAGCAACTGCGGCGTGGGGCCGTTGCCGTCCAGCAGTGCCTCGTCAGCATCTGTCGGCGCCGCCGCCTCATCCGCCGGCTGTACGAGCACACTGGCACGGCACCTTCCCATGGGCCCCGTCGGTGCCGAGGGCGTATTAACCAACATCCCGGTGCGGCCGGCGGAGACGCGACGTTTCGGTGCACTTCTGATAAAGGCAAAGTCCGCTAGGGGTCTTACTGCCGGCGCCGCCGCGGCGGCAGCTGCTGATAGCTTGCCGACGGCGCCGGCGCCGCTGTCCAGCGAGCCACCCCTTCCCCGTTGCTGCAGTGCCTGTGAGGGCAGCGGAGAAAGCCGCCGTGCAAGAACAGCAATTTGACAAGAACTAAAAGATGCCGACGGCGAGACGTCCAACTAACAAACAAGACGTGACGCACTGCCAAATTGTACAATGACGTACTTACGGCAACGTCAACCAGGAACTGCACTGCACAGACAAGCCAGGCATTTAAGTATAGCTTAGACTCACCGGTGGTACGACAAACCGTGACGTGGAAACGCCGACGGCAAGACGCCGACGGCGATCAAAATGGCATGTCTTCCACGCCGACGGTGATGCTGATGGTGAAAATGGCGGTGGCGTCCCAGACCCGGCAGGTATTGTTGCAGCGAGTGATCAGGGGATTCGGGCGGGGATGACGGGGTTGCATACACACTACGAAACGGTTTCGGAGTGGCCGAGTTCGCAACAGATTCCAACGAAACGCAAGACATGGAACCAAACGACCCTCGACCATGCCATGCCATCATGCATACCACAACAAAACTTTGATGATGCAGATTGATTGGTGGTCGGCAATACAAATCCGGCATCCCAAATCCGACATGCTATGGCAAAGCGTTGCAGGACGGGGGGGGGGACGTGTGAAACGAGGCCCCTCTCGTACTTACACTTTCACACATGACGGCGATGTACGGCGATGTACGGCGGTGGCGACGGCTCGTCG